CTTTCCTCATTCTCCTCCACCCTTTCTGCTACTGCATCTACGTAGTCAGCCAACCCTTTAAAAGCAGTTGCCACACTCACACAAAAATCCTCCTGTTTCTGTGATAAATCTTGCTGTTGTTGAGATAAATCCAGTTGTTGTTGTGATAATTGATCAAATCTATTTTGCATTTTAACATCCATCTCTTGAAACATCTCAGCCCTATCCTTACCACTTTCTACAGAGAGATGATCAAGAGTGTCCTGTCATACAGCATCACAGTATGGTTTAGAACAGGGGTAGGCAACCCAAAACACTCAAAAGAGCCACTTGGACCCATTTCCCACCGAAAAGAAAACACTGGGAGCCGCAAAACCCTTTTGATATCTAAAATGAAGATAACACTGCATATATCCTTTTTTACCTTTATTATAGGGGTGTGTGTGTGTGTGTATATATATATTTCGAATTTCTTTTTTTGTTGACAAGAGTTAAAGAGTTAAATGGGAGACTAGGATGGCCATTTTGAGCTCATTTTGCTCTCATCAGCTAGCCATACCCTTTATGGGATTCGAACCTGGACAGCCTGCATACTAAGCTGCAAGGCAAAAGTGATCATAACAGTAGAACTGCAGTATAGCAGTCAAAATACCAAGGTGCATCAACCAAAAAACCGGTCTGACCGGAAAAAAACTCTGTGTGTGTGTGTGTGTGTGTGTGTGTGTGTGTGTCTCATAAAGGTAAAACAGGATATATGCAGTGTTATCTTCATTTTAGATGTCAAAAGGGTCTCTCTCTCTCTGTCTCTCTCTCCCTCCCTCTCCCTCTTTCTGCCCTTGGTCTGCCAGTCCTCTTCTCCCACTCAGTGTGTGTGTGTGTGTGTGTGTGTGTGTGTGTGTGTGTAGAGAGAGGCACTTGTGCTTCCCCCCTCTCTCTCCCTCCCTCCCTCTTTCTCTCTCTTTCTCTTTCTCTCTCTCCCTCTCTTTTTCTCTTTGCTCTCTCTCTTTCTCTCCCTCTCTCTGATCTTCTGCTCACCTGGCAAGCTGGCTTCAAGCTGTTCTGCAACAGGCTGGCTCTCTCCTCCCCTTTCTGCTTCCTGCAGAGACGCAGCAAAGGAGCCCTGCCCAATAAGCTTGTCAGCTCGTGAATAGGGTGAGGCCACTCTTTTTACACACACACACACACACACACAGAGAGAGAGAGAGAGAGAGAGAGAGAGAGAGAGAGAGAGAGAGAGAGAGAGAGAGAGAGAGAGAGAGAGAGAGAGAGAGAGAGAGANAGAAGAACATGTTTCATATCAAGATTGGTTTGAATTTTCTTATCATGGTTCATTGAACACGCTATAGTGACCTAAATTACATTGATGAGATTCATACATCACACTAAGCAAAAAGCAAAAACAAACATCCATATTTTGGCTTAGTGTTATATGTACTCTGGACCACCACTGCAAGCTAGGAAAGAAAACATGTCTATAAATCCTCAGCAAGCTATTGCAAAGGAAGAAGTGGGGGGAGAGTCATTGAGACAGTGATATCACACAAAATTTCTTCAGATCTAGCAGCCAAGCATAGAAGTTATTAAAACATATTCACCTTTTAAAATTCTCACCTTGAATTCTGATAGCCATTCCTCTACCACACCACGTTCTGATCCAAGCATTTTCATAAGACTTCTATTCTTTTATTACCTTTGAAGAGGAGGTATAATAAAAGGGAACAACTTTAGTGTCTCAATTATGTAATTTTATCTCTGAAAGTCCATATATTCATCATCCCATTGCCCAACATTTCAGCTGGCATCACACTTTTAAATGGGCCTGGGGCAAAAAGGGGGAACAGCAAAAGAGTGTCTGCATCGACAGGTATTCACAATGCAGTCCATAGTTAGTCTCTTTCCAAATACAGTACCAAGAAAAGTTGGTTAGACAAAACTGAATTGTATCATGGAAAAAAAAGTGGTATCTTCTAATAATAAATCTTCTAATAATAAATCTAGCTATGGTATAACGGATTCATACAAATGACGGTACAAAGGTTTCATAAATATAATTTAAAATTGAATTCAAGAACCTTTTTTGCAGGTGACCAGTTATAAAACATCTATTAAATAAATTACGAGTATGAAAAATATACATGTAGAAAGACTAGAAAGGAAATTAAACAATAAAAGAATGTTCTGACATAATATTGACTTCTCAAATCCATTGTTTATTTTATTTTTATACTTAACCGCCAGTCAATCCAATATTTAAATTGAAGCAAATTATAAAGTTTTGCAATTATGCTATGTAAGTGCTCTGACTTTTTGCAGAAGTAAGTGTTAGGTAAGCTTACACTTAGAGTCTAAAAGATTACAAGTGGAACAATTGTGGAAAACTGAGGCTCTAAATTAATTGAGCATTAAGGTAAATGGGAAATAATTGCTAGAGGTTAAAAATAGAATGACTGCAGTGCTAAAGACTAATATTAATGCACTAACATCAGAGAACATTTTTTGGCCATTTTCTCTCTAATGGCTTATAGCATCTTCATATCCAGCCATCACTAAATGGGATCAAGTCTGTTCTCAACACTATTATTTTGGCAAAATAGTGGTTGGATGACTCTTAAAGATGCCATAAGTTGTTACTGGGGAAATGACTATAATATATATGCACTAAAAGTAGAAACAGAGGTTAATTAATTGGAAATCCACAGATCAATAATTCAGAAAAAGCTTCAATAATTTACAAACCTTCAATTTAGCAAGATTATTGCTAAAGCTATTGTTTTCTAGATATAAATGATTTATATAAATGACATTTACAAGAGCCTGATTTATTTTTCAACTACAGCTGAAGGAGATATACGTAATATTGTGTTTATATTTGCTTATACTATTCTCATACATCTGCTAATTTAGTAAAAAATAATTTAACAAAAGGAAACAATATACCAAGAATATAGAATCAGCTAAGATAAGTTTCAGGACTTGTGAAACTGATTTTCATGGCACATTATTCTGATTTAAACAACCTTGGGTTAAGATCCATTAAATTATGTTGGCCCGCAACCATAAATCCTTCAAGAGAAGGCTTAGCCTTTAACATATATGTACATTCATGTAAAATTACAGTATAATACATATATTTAAAAGAGAAAATTTCTGTAAATTCTCCAACTTTACAAGTTACTGGCTTGTTCAAAATTTAGTACTGAATCATTCCATTTCTTCAGCTTCTTGATATGTGGAAGAAAAAACATACTGTTTGCGATCCAGCCAAATTCCAGATATGTGAACCAATTCTCAAAGACTGCTATCCCAGCTGAGTATTCTGTTCATGAATCTATAAATGTGACTGGAAAAGGCTGCTCAATTTTGTCCTGATAAACCACTGTATTTACATTCTATTTAATCTTTATCTCAAATCTTCTTCTTTTTAAAATAACAGTGTTTTTCATACTTATTCTGCTTGCCAGAGTATCAAACAATGGTAGTTTTAAGGGAATAGGCTGCACAAGTAGATAAAGTTTTAGCAAAATAGGGTAAACTTCTTTCAATATTAATAAGCTTCTCAGTTGGTAATAACTGGGAGAGTGCATGGCATTTCCTTGTTGTTTGGACTACATTGTTGGCTGTAGGGAGTAACAGGAAGATCTGTTATATGCTGATGGCAGTGTATGTTATTGAAAAATTTCCCTTTCTCCTAAACTTCCCTAATCCAACTTACCCCCAAACTTCCTAAACCCATTAAATGTTTATGCATACCTCTCATCATTTGGCAACAACATAAATTACGTGCAAAACATAAAATACTATCAATTAAATCATCTAATGTCATTGGCTAGTCAAATCCAGTAAAGAGGAATCAAATAATATTTGATCACCTAGTTTTGAATACTTTTTAAGAAAAGAAAGCTGTAGAGTATTTGCCTTATCACAAAGAGATTGTGGAGTCCTTAATGTTCCTTGAGCTTGGTTATTTAGGATATTGTTTAGTGACTGATTATTTGTCTGGTGTTAATACTCAGGATTAACAATTCCTTAATCAAGGACCTACCAAATTAGACAATCAATCAATGAATGAACAATAGCCTAATCAAGGAACTACCAAGAAGAAAACAATATTAACACTGAAAGGGCAGTCTACTATCCATTAACAGAAAACAAACTTTACTTCCTTCTAGTACTGAAGATGTCGCATAGTTGGGAAATGAAATGTCTGCAGGAAAAAAAAAACCAAGCTCAGAGAGCACCAAGGAGTTCACAATTCAACCTTGAGCTATATATATTCTCTCCTATTGGTACTAAGTTGTCATTGTTTAGCTCCTCTTTAAAATACATTTTAACAATAAAAAAATGTTACAGTCTACCTCTATTTGGATAAATTAGTTTTCTAATTGAACTGGTGGATGAATGCTGCCATTTCCCAGTCTGGAATACATTTGATAGTGCTTCATCAAATCATGGAAACTGTCAAAAACAAAAACATGAAACAAACACATTTTTAAAAATGAGCAAAAGATAAAGAAAACTATGCTACTTTTGGCTTTCAAATTCTACAGACTTGAAGTTCAAGCATATATAATACCATAACATTATTATTATT